ACGCGACTTAAAAAAAAAAGTCGCGTATTATAACTGCTTCGCGCCTCCCCTGTCGTTTTTTGGCGCCCCCCAGGGGAGTCGCGCCTCACCTATTGAAAACCGCTGGCCTATATATAGCGGCAACATCAGGTGTATTTTACATATACAAGGTCAATGGAGCAACATTGGAAAATTCCAAAGGGAATTGGATTTATTTTGTGTCTGTCGCTGCTAAAAAAAAATGTTGCTGATTAACTGAAATAAACAGACAAACAAAATTATATCACTCTTTTCAAAAGAGTCACATCACTTGTTCAGTTCAGTTCATCTTTATTTATTTCCTGAAGGCAATTTGGTTGCATACAAGCATACACAAAGGACAAAGTCACACACATAGGCTATACAACAACAACAAAAGCTTCCATCCTAAAAAAGTTTTTACCAAAACTGTTACAACTGAGGGGAAAGATTAATTTTTAAATTTGTGTGAGCTATAGTAAAACATCTAAGATGATCCAAGAGGTTTCAGTCTTCAAGTCTTGTAATTCCACTTGTCAATTGTTGAAGAGTTGCTTTTCTTGATGTTGCCCAAGGAAAAACAACTTTCAGAAGAAAAAAAAATATATATATATTTCAGTTGCATTCAGCTCCAAATAATTTGTGCTGTCAGATAGTTTCTGTTTCTGTAAAAAAAAAAAAAGAAATTAAAAAAAAAAAAAAGATAAGATTAAAAGTAAGTATTAAGTTCATCTGATTACAGGGAAAGATTAACCTCAGTAGTCAGTTTTTTTTCTTTTTTCTCCAGAGGCTTTGGTTTGTTTTATGAACAGCTGCTCTTAGCAGTTTTTCTTTTTTTTAATTCTGTTTTTTTTTATATGCTATTCGCCATCAAAACATCTTTAACAGGGTGATTTAATGGTTGGTTTAATAATCTAACGACCTTTGTTTCCCAACTCTGTTCCTGGATCTGGAAGCACACCAACACTACATTTCCCAACTCTTCTAATCACAGCTGGATTAACTCATCAGAGATTTCAAGACCAGACATGTACAGAATGGGTAAGATATGAGAGACATCCGAAATGTACAGTGTTGGTGCCTCTATAGGTGCAGGGTTGGGAAACACTTGCCTAGTTAACACATGGTATGACAGAGAGTGTGAGGATATATCTTTACAGTATAGGCTACTGTATATATAAAAAAAAACTTTCTATATTTCTATTGAACATCTCTTTCCTTATTTGGTATTGGTGTTTACATGAAAAAAATAACATACAAACAACATACAATAACCAGATGCTATTTGTTTCTTTTGTGGAGTTTATTGTTACACAAGCTGATTGATTGTGATTGTGAAGACATTACAAATTGTCTGAGAATGATGCTTTGAGGATTAGAATTAAAGCATCATCGTTTATTTGGGACTAACATGTATAAAACTATTATATTTGTTCAAATTAAAACCATATTCTTGTGTGAGTTTGGGTGGGGGATGCGGGGAAGAAGTGTGCGTGCGTGTGAGATGTTCAAATGTTAATTTGCAGCAACGTCTTTCCTCTCTTATACCATGGTGAGGTCTACTGTACCTCTTAAACCAGTTTTTCCAGTCTTACACTGTTTTACGGTCAATAAATTGATTGATTGTGATTGTGAAGACATTAAAAATTGTCTGAGAATGATGCTTTGAGGATTAGAATTAAAGCATCATCGTTTATTTTCTCAATCAAATCTATCCAAACTTTATGAAGTCTCATTGTGAATGTCACATGCATGCAACAATCAGCATAAACAGCAAATACTGTAGATACACATTTATATCAATCACAGATAATCCATTTAAACTGTAGAGAGACTAAACAGGTTTTGGAACCTACAAAGTAACAAAGAGCCATTTGTTGCCATTCAAATATAATGTATAATAAAATACAAAAGATGCAATCTGGCCTAACTAATCCAAACACATTTTGCAGCTCATGCATTTAACATATCAAAGTTTGCCATTTTTAGTTGAAAACAGTGTCCTGAAAATGTTTTATGCCCCTTAAAGTCGGCATGAAATCAAATTTGACAAATATATTCTTTTTATATATGTAATATTTTCAGTGTTTATTATAAATGATTTATCTGTATGCTTCATTTTTTTTTTTCAAAATTCATATACCCTTATAATTTTTAATCAAATACATTATCCTTCCCTCCCCCATCGAAACGACCTCTCTTCTATTTCGGTCACGTGCAATGGCGAAAGGATGCGGCCAGAGCATTCGTATTCAAATCTGCCTCCATTTTGTTTGCAACGCCCAACCTCCAACGATATCTATAGGCTTGTTCGACTTCATGCAGCTCTGCGCAGACCGATCGTCGGCTGACTTGAAACAGTGCATGCCGGTTAGAAATTTTGTCCGACTTGATGCAGCGCTGACTCCACGTGACTGTGACATATGCCATCAAAGTACCGCGAGAGCGATACGAGAGTAGCCGGAGGACTCAGCCAGCGCAGCTTCTCAAGAGCGGCTGCACGAGCTCTGATGATGTCACAGCTGTTCCGCGATTCGCCGGATTCACCGCATGACAACGATCACGTGCGTTTCGTGTTTATTCTCACACGTTTAGTTCCACTAAAGCTCACAAATCAGTATTTTATAACAGTAAACACTCTTTTCATGTAGTCGCAATGTTATATTGTGTCATGTTTATCATGTTTATCAAAATAAAACTGATTAAAAAACGTTGATTCCACGTCATTGATTATAGGCTTATTTTGAACTTTATTCTAGTTCAAACAGATGCTGTATGAAGCAGTAAAGTATTGAATGAAAATGTGTCTGAAATATCTGTTTATTTGGCAAATGTTGCATTTATTTCACTTCAGCTGTGGTATAAGCATGCAAACACCACGTGAGCCGTCACTACGGGAACCAGAAATTGTCCGACTTCACGTCTCCGTTTGCAGCTCCTCCCCGCCTGCACGCGGCTAATCTCGCCGATCGGTTGCATCCAACCGCAGCCGATGTCGAACACACCTTATATAAAGGCTAGATGTCTTAAAGGGGACATATCATGCAAAATCCACTTTTTTAGCCCTTAAATGCATTTTGTTGTACACTATATTTGGAGTGTTTATAAGTACAGAAAAGATGAAATTATTCTCTTCAGGTGCTTCGTTTATATCTTTATATTCTGTTTTGGTCATATTTTTCAACCTGTTCAGATTTTTCTGTTTTCTATGACGTTTTTTGAACTATCACGTCACCGTATTTGCAGTGGAACTGCCAAATAAGGACATTGACTACCGGTCCAACACTTCGAGCAATCCGCCATTATTATTTCTCACTCCGATTTTGTAGTCCGAGCTCAATGATGCAGAAGTTACGAGAGGGCAAGTCAAAATGTTCGGATGTTGGATGTAGTGACCTGAAGCACTTCAAGGATTCCCTCTTCAACAACCTCCGCCATTATAAAGAAGGGTTTGGCGATTGACTTCGTCTGAATGAGAGGTAAATTCCTTCTATCTTTGGAGACGACGAGCATTTCGTTAAGCTGTAAATATCGTTAATAAAAATAAAGTACTTTAGTTTCTTAAAACACATGGTGGTCATGGTTTAGCAGTACCTTTGTCTTTCTTTGTTTTTGTTTTGAAGTAACGTTACACGTCTGCAGTATTATTGTTCTTGAGTTTCATCAATGGTCATTTAGCTGCTGTGTTTTCTGTTGTTTTTCTCAACGTATCATATTGTCATTGTCAATACAGATTGTTTGTGGTAAGATTAGGCCGTAGTCATTTATCTTGTCAGTGTGCTTGTTTTAACAAGAGAAATAGTCGACTTTCACTAATAACACTCACACACCAATATATCCATATGAAGAGGTTGTTCTGCAGGTTCGTCGTCGTCTTTATCAACTTGCTCGCTCTGGCTCGAATATGTAAGGCTTGATGGACAAGTCTTCTGTTGTTGACATTTTATTAACGTGTGAATAAAAATGTTCTTTGAAGGTATCGTATATAATCGTATATCTCTAATCAAACTACAATAATGGCCGAACGTGGGGAGTTGAACTGACCGTGAACTCATCGACCTGGAGAGCGGGCGGGGTATGACGCATCTCCTTTTTATTTAAAGGGGCCGCTTTGAAAAGGGGTAGAAAAGGGGCTTGTGGAGCTATAATAATGAGGAATTCAGACCCAAGCATTGCAGTTATGTTTTATATAGACCACAACGGTATGATTTACATGTAAAAATGAATGATTTAAGGCAGAGTTTCTCGTCATCACCGGCGGCCATCTTGTCACGGGTAAGCTGATGTAAGATGAGTGGTCAGCACGAACACAAATACTCTTATCTCGTTGAAATCTTGACAGATTTACAAACGGTTTGGTTTCTTACAAACGTTATTAACGTGGCTATAATTATCTGGATGATTATTTATTTATACACTTATTATTCATAAGTATGCTGTGTCATAACTACATCTCTGACGTTTATAACAAACCAAACCGTTTGAAATCGGTAGAAAATTGAGCAAGTTATGGTTATTTAAATAGTACATGTACCATTAACACAATTTTACGAGTGAGTGAGCTGCCTGTGACAAGATGGTCGCCAGGTGCAGACGTCGACCTTCATTGGCCAGCAGCGCGGACGAGATATCTAGCCTTTATATAGATATCTATGATTCAATCTATTCCCGGAGGACGAAATCAAGCCCCGCCCTTCATTTTTTTTCTCATTTCCGCTCATTTCAGAAGCAATTCACTCGGATATACCAGAGAATGTCTAATTGAAGAGAATTGGCACTGGCTGGTTATTTCCGGGTTCTGGACTGACTGCAGTAACGCGTCTTTGTCCATGCGGGGGCGCTCGCGGTCGAGTGCAGAATGAATGGCAGTCTATGGGGTTTCACCCCCAGAAATCAACTTTTCTCAGGATGTAATTTTTTGTCAAGTAATTTAAAAGTTGCATTCAAAAGGGAGGGCTAAGATAATACACTCAGCTGAAAATTGCATTTTTAAGTTCACTTACCTGTTCGAAAAATCCGTTCAAAAATGTGATGACGTCACACAATAGCACAATGCTAGCGCGTTCCGGCCAACACCGACCTAACCTGTAAGAAATCAAAAGGACATAAGTACTCGTTCATTAGACTTTTGGCCTATAATCTATATTGAACTTGCGGAATCAACAATAAAATCTATTTTGATTTAACGACAAGCAGGTAAAGGAGACACTTTTAGCTGTTTAGCTCCATAGACTCCCATTCATTCTGCGCTCGCCCGCGATCACCTCCAGTGGAATTCTAATGGAACTGCAACCAAGATGATACACAACGGGGCTAATAGGAAGTGCCAAGGCTCTCCGTTAGACGGGCTCTGGATATACGTCACAACAAGGAAAAATGACAATCTCAACTTCCGTTTCACGCCGACTTTAAACATAGGGGTACATTTGTAACAAGGCTGAAAAAAAAATTTGTAACAAGGCTAACAAGGAACCGGTGTGGGAAATGAACTGTCATGGTAACTATTAGATAGTAATACAAAATTAACAAGGGTAACAAAAAACAGCAATGGAAATAAAGGAAACAAAAATAATAAATCTTAAAATAAATAAATAAAAGCTGACATGTGCATTGCCGTGAGATTGCTTAAACCTGGAACATTCAGTCTCTTTGTCTTGTCTTTTTTTTTTTTTTTTTTTTTTTAAAGCAGACAGATCCTTGATTGCCCAAACCTGGAACATTTCCGTCTCTTTGTCTTGTCTTTTTTTTTTTTTTTTTTTTTTTTTTAAGCAGACAGATCCGTGATTGCCAAAACCTGGAACATTTCCGTCTCTTTTACTGTGCGTCACATTATGTTTTGATGATTAGATGCGGACAGATAAACTCTGTAATAACGATGCCTAAAGACTGCTCAAACATAGGATTGGATCATTCATTGTCTTTATTGTAGACTGAACCACACAAAAAATGACTCCCGTCTCAGTTAAAGACGTGAATGTGTGTCACACCAGCATACAAAACACATCCCAGATAGCAAACAGTCATTGAAACAATGTTAAATCAATGTTCATTTATCAACATTAAGTCATTGAATCAACATTGAACTCTGATGTTGATTCTCATTTTGCACCCTGTTTTAATATTGAAACAAGATTGAAATCCTGTCCATAGATCAACAGAATTTCAATGGTATTTCAATCATAAGGAATATTGAAACAATGTTGAAATTTCAACTGAACTTAGGCGGCGAGCTACATAGGCCTAGCGTGCACCTCCCCCCACCTCCCAACAAAACCATACTTTTTTGAAAGGTCTGGATGTGTAGAATATGAATCTGAATGTTAACATTGAAAATTTTGGGTTGCACTACCTGTTTTAGGCCTGTGAATAGGGAAACCCTAAACACGTTTTTAAGCGATTTTAACATTTCGAGATTGGCCTAGTCAATCAGAACAGCTTTTAAGGGACCCAATATGTGATACGTGCGAATCAACGTGATTTCAATGGAATTTCAATCATTTTTAAATGATAATTTTATGTTAATGTAATGCCATACACCTACTTCCTCATGCCACAACATAAACTAAATAATGTCACTGGTCATCCATTAAAAAAAAAATTTATATTTATATGTCACATGAAAGCTGAATAAATAAGCTTTCCATTAATGTCTGAAAATTATGCAGCACCTATGAATTTAATATCAATCAGCTGTGGGCATTTCATCTAAAAGTTGATGAATGTGTTTTGTTTACTATATTTAGCTATCATAATTAACCAAATAAAAGAAAAATTAAACAAGGTGAAGTACTTTTCATCTCTAAATTATTTGGGTTTAACTACATATATAAATAACTATATCGTGAAATATATCGTTACCATGAAATAAAATTAGTCATACCATGAAACACAATTTTGTCATACCGCCCACCTCTGCCGTTGTGACGTCGTCAGGCTCCATTTGGTTACTTTATGACACCATTTACATTACATTACCAGACACCATTTGGTCAGCGTGACATTGCTTTATGACAACGTTGTGGTACAGTTACATTTTTTTTTTTTAAATCTTGACTAACCCAGAAACGTCATGGGCACGTCCTCAAAAGTCGTCGCTAGTTTATCCCATGGAGAATGTTGTAGTCCTCTTTTCCCATCTTTTTTCGAGTCATTTCGTTCATTCAACGAACAAAATGACTCGAAAAAAGATGTGTCCACACATCGTCGTTCATGGACATATTGGATGACGTGGGGGTGAGTAAATTATCAGCAAAAGTTAAAAAAAAAAAAAAAACTGAACTAATCCTTTAAAGGTTGGATTTTTCTTAATTTTTCTGATTAAAGTTAAGTATTAAGATCAATTTCCAAAAGATGATTTTTTATTCCTCTTTTTAGGAAACTTTAGCATGGGTGTCCTATCACTGTATATAATTGTGAAGCTCCCCCTGTCATTGATCTAGCACTAGCATCCCCTCAGTATCATGCGTTAAAAATTATATGGCGTCGCCCAGCAGATGTTACGGTTACATTGCGGTCGACTTTGTCATGGTCTTCTTCATCCTCACCTATGAAGCAAGGTATGTTTTCATCTGAGATTCATCCTGCATTGCCTCCTCCTCACTAGACTAGTGTCTTGATCAATGATCTGATGAAGAACATCACAGAGACCTTCTTTGCCATTGTGCTTCTTCAGAATGAATCACAATCAAGGCGCTATGATGCATTTATATGTGCCTGTGCTATAACATCTTTATTTATCAGTTTTGCAAATAGAAAATTAATTGAAATCATGAAATTTGTGTCCAGAACTTATAAAAAAACAGTATTAGCCTATGTTGTCACTTAACCTAATGAAATTCTGTTTAGTTACCAAATATAGACAACCACAAATATGGTTCACTATTTTTTTTACAACCAACTCAGAAGTTGTAGGTCTAATGTAAATACAGCCTACTCATTTTATAAACACTATAGCCTAAGCAGGCTAATATTAAAGATGTGGTCATTTTTACTTATACAATTTATGTTTGGTAGCTGTTTCGGTTATAGTAGGACCTGCTTTTAGTGGTTTCCAATAAACTACCAACGAACGTGAGCAGTCTGACACTTTCCCTGTTACTTCAATAAAGTATAAGTAAAGGAAAAAAAAATACATTCTCTTCTACTGTATCACTAAGCTCACACTGCCCTCTAGTGGTCACACACACACTTGCTGCGTCCCAATTCGCTTACTTATACTACGCCCTAAAAGTATGTACTCTCGAAAAGTACATACTTTTGAGTGTGTAGCAAAAGAGTAGGCAAACTTTGGGACATACTATCACATTACGTCACAACCGCGGGGACTCGCGCGTCCTCCGTATCGATGTATCTGTAGTTTTTTTTAACATGTTTTACTCGTGTTTGTAGTTCAAACCGAATCCTCGTCCAACGCGCAATATCAGCCGTTGGAGTGTGCGTCGATCTACACTTCGGATTCTGACCGGAAAAAGTAGACCATCCGGGTATCTTCGAAACACTCATTTCAACATAATACGATTTGGGACGTACTAATAGTTTACTGCGAACTCCCTCTTAATTGGTTGTCTCCTTTGGTCCAGAAGCACTTACTGTTTCAGTTTTTTAACACTACATAAAAGCTGGGATAAAATACAACCAAGAGAAAATATAAAACTGAATCTAAAAGTTAAACACATCTTTAAGATGTTTTCTTGACATGTGAAATAAAGAAAACAGTTACAAACTGAAACAGGAAGTGTTTCTGGACCAATGTTGTTAACATATTGCAAAATGGTCTATAAGATAGAGGTCAATAACAAGATGATGATGAAAAGATGAATGCTCTCTGGAATAATTTGAGAACGATCCAAAGAGCAGATATTGAGTTTCAATGAAGAACTTAAGTTACCATGAGCAGAGCACCTATGCATTAAACATAAACATTAACAGATTTCTTACCTATCAAACTTATATGAAATGGATGACGAAAATGTGTGTGCATGTGTATTGAAAAAACGCCGTTATAAGCTCAACGGCTCTCTAAAAAAATGCCAATAATCCACTGTGCATTCCCGCGTCTCGCCACAAGATGGCGTCCGCATCTTAATCACCCATCCTCCATTTTCCACCGCTCGTTGGTCCAATGCATGGTCGATTCAATGCTGCAGCTGGTGCGTAGCAGCACAAATTGTCGAGCCCCGGTCACAGAACCCTCACAACATATATAAATATATCTTTATATTATATATACTTTGAGACACAGCCAGTCTCAAACCCGTTATACACAACTTCCACATCAACAGCTGCTAGCAATCATTAAATTGATTTGATTGGTATTTATGAGACCAAACACCTAGAGTTTGATCAGATGTCACGTAAATGGTGTTGACCTGAAAATATCAAAATTGCAAATACTGTGGAAACAAAGACACCTACATCTTGGATGCCTTTGAGGTAAGCTATATCAAAAATTGATTTCAAAGTGAACTATCCCTTTAACAAATGTAACATTGAACTATGAAGTTACTGTAGTTAGCAAACATTTGTCACGTTTTTCTCTTGTCGTCCTTTTATCTCACAAAATTCTTGTATCTCTGTGGAGTTTTGACATTTCTTCCAAACCTTGTTTTCACCCTTTTTTTTTTTTTTTGGTGAAATTATTGTAGCGTGACCTGAATCAGACCCGGGTAGACCAGTCCCTGCTGTTCATACTGAGGCAAGTTCATACACAGGCGAGTTGATTCTGACCCCAAAGGTGATGATCATCCACCCTGCATTCATAAACTACAGTATGTGGATGAGAGCTGGCTGCAGAAACATGCCAAATATCCTTCAACTGGTTTCATCACAGTGACATTCGCCCTGCACATCTGTGATCAGGTAAAGCTTTTGTCTTTCATTTCAATTCCTCCAATGTTTGTCTCACAGAGTCAGACTTTTTACTATCGGCATGAAGTCTAGTCTAGTGCACTTTGCAAGAGACCATTTTATTAACATGTAAAAAGACCAACATCATTTTGGTTTTACATGTCATTTAGAGGCGGGCTAATCTGAAATTCATGATGCCAACAACAGCCGCCATCTATAAATCATGGTATCCATTCATT